GCTTGGGTGCACGCCCGGGATCTGAACCCGGGCCGCCAACATCGGAGAGCGCGCACTTAACCGCTAAGCCACGGGGCCGGCCCTATCCTCATAATTTGAATTTGGAATTTTATATTAAATAACTCTATTAAACAAATTAAGTAATTCATTTATCTGATACGGGAAAGGGATGCTACTTACTGCAGTTGATTTATCCCAATGCAATTCTCATAGCCAGACTATTTATGACAACATTTTTATATTTTACTACTGCCAGAGTTGCTGATTGGTGCAATGGCTGTAAATATCGCACATACCAAAATCTTCACGGCCTTGCCGCTTAGCAGCATTCGCACAGTGTTCTGTGGAACACTAGTTTAATTAATTCCAGTAATATGGAAAGAAGGTCAAATAAATCTGAGAAACCCTGGGTTAAACTAAATTATGCAAATTTCTTTAAGTAGGACATCTCAGATTCTTTCATATGCTAAAAGAAAGACACGATATGCAAAGTTACTAAATATTATCAAACCATGGAAACATAAGCTGGGGGGCTACGGTTTTTCAGAAACCGTAAAATGTTGTCTTATTGTACAAACTTCAGTCACACACACACACACAACTGACGATTCTGTCATTATGGAGAAGATGCAAAAATTCTGACTTGGTCAACATATCCCCTCCATTAGATGACAGTATTAGTCGTGTTCTTTAACTCTTACCACAGACTCCAAATCTTGCCACATGCTTATCTGCTTTCTAAACCACATGGGTTCTTCAACTACCAAACGGAAGGAACACCATTAATCTAGGTAGGCCCTTCAGATAATACAGCCTCCAACTGTCCGCCATTCAGTTCTTATTAAAATCACGCTTAATAACATCATATTTATAGAAAGTCACCAGAAGGCAACACAATTTGCTTGCCTAGTTCTCAGCATTACATAGTGGATTGCAACAGAGCAAACGTAACCTGCGTGCTTTAACTTAGCTTCTAACAGAATCAGTTTCAAAGGGTTCTGTTTTAATTTCACACTCTAATTTTTTATCAAAATATGTATAAAATAGTCGTATGAAATACTTTTCTCCACTAGCTATAAAAATGTTGCTCAAGATAGATATACTTGAAAGTGATAATAAGTAACACCTATATAATACATATTATTTACCTTCCGTATTCTAGGTGTTTTGTGTACATTGATTCACTTAATTCTTTTACAGATGAGGAAACAAAGTCACATGGAAGCTATGAATTTTGCAGAAAATTACACAGCTGGTAAGGGGTAAGCAGAAATTTGAACCAAGTAGTTCTGGCTCCAGTGTTCATGGTCTTAACCACAATACTGTATTATTAATAATCCCTTTTGATTTTCCCTATTTCTAGTTTATAATGCAGTAATAGGATGTGTTATTTCTCTGAGGTACTATTATTTTTACTGCTTTCTGATCATATGAATTATATTTCCGATTATATCTCTTGTTTTACTACGCCTGTCAGGAAGTTTGAAGCAGATTAACATAAAACTCAATTATAGCAAATCTGTGGGCTCCTAAGGTCGTTAAATTTCAGTTCTCCTTTGATTTTTCTATTTCTATCACTATCATCTTCCTCATCATCATCAAAACCACCACAATTTCCATCCTTTTTGTCATTTCTTTATTATAATCTTCTTATAGACCTATTCAAATTCTTGGTGAAATCAAGACAAATAGAGATAAATACAATAAATAATTTAATCATCATCCCAAGGGTGTTTCCCAAAATGTCTTCTGAATCATTGAGGAAATGTTATAATTAGTACAATTTAGTGTCAGAATATTTTATTGTACTCCACAGAAAATTTCACCTTAATCCTTTGAAAAATGGCAATCCTTATGTGTTATTTATACTAGCAGTTTGCCAGAACATTAAGTTAGAGCACTCAAATTCTACACTAGTACAAATTAAATACAGCTGGTCAATTCAGAGTCATCATTCTTGACAGTTAAATATATTGTATTTTATTTATTTATAATACATATTTACCTATTTTTAAATATTTTATACAGAATTAAGGTTAAATAAAGCTGCTGTTCCCCTAGAATGCTCCTCTACAGGCACAGTGGTTGATTACAATTACATTCCAAATGATCAAGGCTGGGGCTACACTGCTTCCTGGATATTTTCAATAACATCCCTGGATAGAATCCCCAGAGAGCTTACCTGTGGTCACACCGTGAACCACTCCTTCCTTGGTTTTGGAGCCTATAGAAACAAACAAATTCAAAGCATAAGTCTCAAACGGCCTTATATTGCTGATTAGCTCATTTTAAATACAACTAATCAAAAAATTGCCATCTTCAGAGCCCATATATAAATACAGTCTCAGGGGGCAAAAAGGCTAAAACAAGCAAATCCAGTAATCACTACAACAAATAGAAGAAAGCAAAGCTATGAGGAGGTTCTCTACAATTAATATTTTAGCACAAAATGATGACTTTTCATCCTCTTGTGTTCCACTTCACATATCAACTTACAGAGGGAAAAAAAGGTGAGATAACACTGGGGCTGGGTGGGAAGATGACTTTGGATTCAGAATGTAGAAGCCTTACTAAAGTACAGCACAACAGAGAGATTAGTTAACCCATGAAACACAAATAGAAGAGGGAGGGAAGGAAGGAATTAACATTTGTTAAACACCTATTATGTAAAAGCCATTTTACATCTCATCTCCTTTGATCTTGTTAACATCCATTTCATATAGGTGTATCAAGCCCATTTTATATATGATGAAATTGCAAATCAAAGTTAAATGATTTACCTAAAGTTGCACAGGTTATAACTGGTTACAAGTACATTCAAGTTAAGGTTTCTATGACCCTAAACTCATACTCTTTCCACTAAGCCAGGCAAACCTTTAGAAGGAATGCAGTATTTTATCATTCAAGTGTTACTAATGCTAATTTCAAGAAGCGGTAAGACAGGAATTTCTCTCACATCTTGACCGTTACTAAGCCTTTATACAAGTAATTTATTAATATGTCATTAAAACTAAGTGGGTTAACAATTTTATTCATAAGTTCTCTAATGTTGCATTTTTCAGTGTAACTCATACCAGTCTTTTAATAAAATGTTTTTGGAGAAAATAACCATGGATTAGAGATCCATTTGAAAACTACCCTATATGTAATATACTCTATATGTAAATAATGTAGTTCTATCAGATGTAGAAGAACATAAGGAAATGAGGACATAAAAACTGGGGAATAATTTAAACCTATATTTGGATATTAAGATAGTTACCAATCTCCAGTTTAAAAATGCACTGTTTTATAAACTCTTACTGAGTATACTAGAAATAACTGTAAACACATTTTAAAACAAAGGAAAAAAGTGTAAGGGACCCTCAGATTCCTTATCAGTAAAATTAATACATAAGATTAAATAATCTCTAAGAAGCTGGTTCTTTAACTGGAGAGCGCAGCAGAATCAATTGGTAGAGTGAGGTTAAAAAGGCTGACTACTGAGTCAGCACCTCAGATAGTCAGTAAATATCAGGTAGAGATATTCACATTTTTAATAACCCTCATGATCTAATGCAGGCAATTCATGGATCAAATTTGACAAACACCGGTCTGAGGCAGTTTCTAGTTCTAAACTTATTTAAAATTTAAAAGTACATATCTATGATTTAAATAACATGGTGATCAATAAGATGATCTAAATAAATATACAGAACCATATTAAAATGTTCATTGAATATTTTTATGAAGATATACAAATATGGCATTAAGTGAAATTTGCATGCATCATATTTAAATTTACATTTTACAAAACGATCAGGGAAAGTTTCTACATTTAATAAAACAATTTAATATATTTAAGAACTTCCAATTTGAATATATTTAAGGACTTCCAATACAAAAACATAAAATAAACTATAACTTTTGTAGTTAAGAATGCAGGTTCTGAATTCAGATTTTCTGGATTTAAATTTTCACTTTACCACATAATAATTAAATATACACCATTCGATCAACATGAAGATCAAAGGAAGTAATATGTATAGAAGTCTTCAAACAGTGTTTAGTACATATTAAATACTTAGTGATTTAGAAGTTATTATTCTTTGGATATAATATTTGTAAAATGATTTTCAGTTTAAAACACAGGACAGGCGCCAGCCCGCTGGCATAGTGGTTAAGTGGGCGCACTCCACTTCGGTGGCCTGAGGGTTAACAGGTTCGGATCCCGGGTGTGCACCGACGCACTGCTTGTCAAGCCATGCTGTGGCGGCGTCCCATATAAAGTAGAGGAAGATGGGCATGGATGTTAGCCCAGGGCCAAGCTTCCTTGGCAAAAAGAGGAGGATTGGCATTGGATGTTAGCTCAGGGCTGATCTTCCTCACACACACAAAAAAACAAAACACAGGACAAATCACCAAATCATAAATTCATATAAATGAAATTGTGTAGTTGTTTTAACACGTTAAAGGATACAAGGTAGTATTTTATATATATGATGTGTGTGTGTGCGTGTGTGTGTGTGTGCACGCTCACTTTGCGTAGTACTGCGGGATCATGAAACGACTGCGGCACAAGCTGAGCTGAAACTGCGGAAAGTGATCTTAACAATCAATGAGGAAAATTATGATTAATCAGCAGTAAAAATTATGATTGTTCCATGACCTTTAAAATTTTTTGTCAAAACATTAAACTTTCTCTTAGTCATTTATAAATGTAGAGGGAATTGAAAAAAATTAGTAAAATATTTACTTAGTATACTATAATTTAAAACATTGAGAATTTAAGTGCTTTATTTCTTTGTAAAAAACTTATCGAGTCGTTTAAACAGCGCTTGTCTTCTTGTTCTCATCGTATAACTTCCTGAATGGGGCGAGCTTCTTTTCTGTCTTAGCAACTTGTCATACTCCTTTGTAAATTTGGATCAGTTTCCAAAATGTTGCACTTTGCACTTTTAATGTCATGATATATCTCTGACAGTTCCTTTAAGGGGAGGTGGTTTTTCAGCACCACTTCCTCTAGGACATCTTCACCTTATTCATCACAACCACGTTTTCCGTGTATATTGACACCTTCACCTTCAATAAGTTCCTCTGGCTGCATATCTAGAGTCTCCTGAACTGTAGCAAAGTCAACATTCCCACAGTCAGCTATTTCTTCTATAAATAAATCTATGTTTGATTCAGATTTTACTTCCAGCATTTTTCGCTTCATTTTTTTGCTGCGCTTTCATCTTTTTTGGCCAATTTCCTCTTTCAGTTATGCTTTATTGTAAAATATCACGTGGGTTTACCACTGCGAGAAATGGAGGCAACACAACTACGGGCTTTGCTGTCTGTATGAAATGAATGACCCACGTGCAGTGACCAATCACCAACAAACTTTGAAAGAAGTGATGTGATCTGATCATGGATTACAATGGATTGCTGTTACTTATGTAGTGATTTGTGGGCTGAAGAACTAAGAGCAAAGTTTGTACTTTATGCAGTAACTCACAGTTTATGTATTGTAGTACAGAAATTTGAATTGTGTTGTTAGGGACTGGTGTTATTTAACTAATTGTGGTAACCAAAATTTGTTGGAACTATGTGAAGTGAGGACAGCCTGTATTTGAGAGAATATTTCTTATCCCTACCCACTTGCCAATCCTTGTACCCCATATTTTAAAAAATCACTAGGAGAAAGAAATGTTTAACAGTTCTTTCCTCTCTGCCTCAGTAGTACCTGAGAATTCAACCTTTGGCTAAATCATGGAATGTATCTTGAATCAAAGATAAAAGAGGGTCTTGACATGGTTGCTTTTTATCAAACCAATTGCCTGTTGTTTGCCATCAATTGTTTATTAGTATTTGTAATTAATGATTAACCTTTAATTGATGAGTAATCTGTAATGGAAAAGATATAGCTACAAAATAGGTGCCAAAGTGGCTTTGCGACTAGTAAGATATAAAAGCCGAAGGAACACCAGAACTGATGGCTTCCCTGAGCTGAGGTGGCCCAGAGGCCTCCCATCTAATCTCTCATGACTTCACAAAGTGGCAGAGTGAAGGCTGGAAGTAACGCCAGGGAGTGGCAAGAACTCAATTATACTGTTGTTGTGTGTGTTCTGTCGACTTTCTCAACTTGGTGCAGGTGAAGTATACTGTGACTCGCGAGTTTGATATCAATCCATGCCTGTGACCACTGCTGCCTATTAGGCAAAGTGGCATTGGAAGAGTTTTGAAGATCATTTTCCTCCTTTACTGTTATAATACTTGCCATTATACAAAGAGAACTAAATTTTTCCTGCTTTTAAATTTGACTAAATTTATAATTTCTGAGCCATTTGATTGAGAATATCTTTGTCTATTAAATTGAAGTATATTGATTGAAAATTTGTGTACAAACATATCACAAAAGGAGAAAAAAATCATAAAAACAACACTGATTCTTATGGTAGTTCTTCAATCAGTTAAAAGATAGTTGCCAAAACTATATTATAAATGAATGAGATTACTTTTCTTACTAAGTTTATGAAAACAGTGTGTCCAACTTTTTCAGCCATAGTAAAACTGGAAAATTTTCTTTAGTCACTTCCAATCTTTCAAACTAGTCACTGATAATAGTTTTGTAATGAAGGGTGAAAGATAAAAAGAAAATATGTTCAAAAAGTAATTATTCTGTTGGAAAGTTTATTTGATAATAATAACCATGGCTCCTATATATAAAAGTGTGCTTTATAAAAATTCTCAATAAAATATTAGTGAATCAAATCCAACAATGTATAAGAAGAATTATACACCATGATCTAGTGGGATTAATCTCAGGTATGCAAGGCTGGTTCAACATTCGAAAATTAAAGTAAACCGTCACATCCAACACCTATTCATAATAAAAAAAAAAGAAACCCCCAGTAAAATGGAACTAAAGGGGAAATTCCTCAATCTGGTAAAGAATATCTACAAAAAACCTATAGCTAACACCCTTTTTTATGGCAAGAAACTAGAAGCTTTCCTACTAAGATCAGGAACAAGGCAAGAATGTTCTCTCTTACTACTCCTTTTCAACATCATACTGAAAGTCCTAGCTAATGCAATAAAACAAGAAAAGGAAATAACAAGTACACAGATTGGAAAAGAAGAAATAAAACTGCCTTCATTCACAGAAGACATGATCATCTACGTGGAAAATTCAAAAGCATTGACAAAAATCTCCTGGAACGAATAAACAATTGTAGCAAGGCTGCAGTATACAAGGTTAATAAACAAAAGTCAGTCACTTTCCTATATACTAGCAACGAACGAGTGGAATTTGAAATTGAAACACAATGCCATTTACATTATCAAAAAAAAATGAAATACTTAGGTATAATTTAACAGAACATATACAAAATCTATATGAGGAAAACTACAAAGCTCTGATGAACAAAATTGATGAACTAAATAGAGCGATATCTGTGATCACAGATAGGAAGACTCAATATTGTCAAGATGTCAGTTCTTCCCAACTTGATTTATATTTCAATGCCATCTCAATCAAAAGCCCAGCAAGTTATTTTGTGAATAGTGACAGACAGTTTACATGGAGAGGCAAAAGGCCCAGAATAGTCAACACAATATTGAAGGCTAAGAACGAAATTGAAGTACTGACACTATCTGACTTCAAGACTTACTATAAATCTACAGTAATCAAGACAGTATGGTATTG